GCAGACAGAGCTGAGGTCAAAAGGCTCAGCTCATTCTTATAACAAGTGGGGACTGTGCTGTTTGCCTACATCTGAGGCAGCGAGCACCCACAGGGGAGAGGATGAGATAGGGCAGCCACTGCACACAGCTGAGACTCTCCACTCTGAACTATTTTTGCCCTCCTCCTTTTAACGCACAGGGGATAAGGAGCCATGCACGTCTCCACAAACATCTTTCTATTTTGTTTTGTATGTAACATGTTTGATCCTTTTTCTCTTTTCTCCCTTTTTTAAAGAGTACTCTAGTATAAGAATAATACAAAGAAACTTCCATTTACTTATAATCAGTTTCTACAAGAAACTTTAAGCCCATTTTCAGCTAAAAAGTAACAAACATAAGGTGTTGTGGAATATTACTTTAACTGTGTAAAGGTGAGTTACATTTGTTTATGCTGCACTTGCTCCGTTGGGTAAAGATGTGTTATCATTTCACCTTGCCTGCCTAAAGCACCTGATTGGTCTAATAAAAAGCGAAACAACCAATAGCCCTGCAGAAGAGGGATAGGCGAGGCTGGCAGGCAGAGAGAACAAGTAGTAAGAGGAATATAGTCTTGAGAGAGGAGAGAACAAGAGAGAAAGAGGGAGAGGCCTGGGTCAGACAGACAGACAGACAGACAGACATAGAGCAAGCAGTGAAAGTAGGCATATAAAGTGAAAAAAAGTTAAAAAGCCCTGAGGCAAAAACGTAGATGAAGAGAAACAGGCTAATTTAAGTTATAAGAGCCAGTGGACAAGCAGACAGGACAGCCAAGCATTCATAACTAGCAGTAAGTCTTCTCGTCGTGATTTGGAAGCTGATTGGTGGCGCAAAAGAAAGCCTGGACATAATGGGAGCAATATTTTTAACATACATCTTGTTTTACATGTTTGGGTATTTTGCAGGCATGTCTGTCTGTGCGTGATGTATACGCAGTGCCTGCAGGGCACAGAGGAAGGTGTCGGGCCCTGTGGCTGGTGTTACGGGCAGTTGTGAGGGCACCATGTGGATCCTGAGAGCTGGACAAGGGTTCTCTGGAAGAGCAACAAGAGCTCTAGACCCTGAACTGCTTCCATTGCCCCACGGGAGCGATGTTTTGAAGTGAGTTCCTGACCGCAGGCCTTAGGATATTCTACTCAAATTGTTTTTTCTTTTGAGATAGGATCTTGTTGTACAGTCCAGGTTAGTCTTGAACTTGGAGGCTTCCTCCCTCAGCCTCCAAATGCTGGGATTATAGGGCTATGCCACTATGCCCAGCTTAAGTGATAGCTGAATGATTGTGCATGTGAGTATTTGAATCAAGCTACATCTGCTGTTGCTTGTGTCCATGGTGAAGACAATTCACTGATTTGTTCAGGTTTTAAAGATGACAGTGTAAGGTCCTCAGGAAAACTCTTAGTGGGGAAAGTATCCTTGATTCTATCCTTGAAGATAGGAAATAGCAACAGTGTTACAGTTTTTCCTTACTCATCTTCTTTGACTTCTATTTTGAGACATCAATTCTAGAGAAATTTATCTGATAATCAGAATTTAGACTTGCCAGGGGCTTGAATTGTCATTAAGCCCTAAGGCCAACTGCAGAGAATTTCCAGCCAGCTTACCAAGGGTGCTTCCTTATTTTTACTCAAACATCTTCCATGGTGAGTGTTACATGCTTTATGGGAACAAATCATGGTATAAATTAAGCTGGTCCTATGCAAATGAAAGCAAATTTTATTATCTCCCTTGGATTGTAGTCAATCCATATATAGCACATGAAATTTCATGTTTTTATCACATTTACCTTACATTTATATTAAGCAAGTACCATGGTATGCTTTGTTGTGATATCAAAACTATTGTTCTGAGTCTTAGTAGGTATTAGAACTTTTGAAAAATCCGAATACAAGGGATTCCGTTAATTTTTGTACAGACATAGTTTGTTTTAGCCATTTGTTTCTCTTGATGTGTTTTCCAGTTTGTGGAAATGACTTTGAGTGTTAATTGCTCTGCTTCGCTTCATGCTGTTTGGAAAACAGCTTACAAAACAGCCTCGGCTAGAGCAGCAGGTAACGATTCCAGAGATCCCAAATGTTAAAGCCTGGTGGCACACCAGCTCTCTCTCAGGCTCCATGAATCATCAATCAGTGTAGGGGAATAGTCGCTTAATATTTTCAGATCTTGCAGAAAAAGACGGTGATCTATCGCTAAGCAGCATGTGCCTAGGGAGCAGTAGAGAGGAATTATTGCAAATACCCTCTAGCTTTAGGAAAATCTGAGCTAACTTAAAGCAAAAATCGAGGAAGCAATAAATAGATCATTATGTGACACAATCTGGGTCCAATTAATTTCAATAAATTCCACAGTGTGACTTTAATCATTCACTTTTTCATTTATTAATCAAACATCTTAGTATTTTGTAAAAATTAGCTGTTGCTGCCGGTGGTTAACCCTCCATGCACCATCTCAGCATGCCTGCAACCCCTTAGGCATGAGGATTATTGCAGCATCTAACCACACATAGAATTTCCTTTTCTCCTTCAATTCCCACTCCTGGGAGGGAAAGAAACAATGTATCAAACAAATAAGACAGTTCCAACAGGTGACAGATGCTGAAGAAATACCACAGGGCAATGAGAAACGATACAGTAGTCATAAAACTAACATGATCAGCAAATGGAAGTTCAGGGTATCCATGAAAATAAAAGATCAATAGCTTGAGGGGAAGTTGAATGAATGACGTACCGGAGAAAAAGGCCAGCAGGTTACAAATCATCCTCAAAACACCATCATTTCCTCAACCACAAAGGCAAGGCAGGTGAATTACCTTCACACATCCCTGCACACTCCTCCAACGTGCCTGATTTCCTGGCCTTTGCCTTCACCCAAAGCCGCTGCATTCACGTTTCTCTTGTTTTAACAAAGGTCTCAGTCTGGAGCCCAAGAACAGACAGAGCATTCCTGAGACTACTTCCCTAGCTTAAACCAGACATCCCCCTGGTTATGGACCCTAGGCATGACTGGAGTTCAGAGAACAGCAAATACTACAACAAAAGCAGGAAGATACCACGGGGATTTCCAAATCTCTTTATGTCAAGTCCTACAGTGAAGTTTCAAATGTAGATTTGCTTGGAAAATAACTAGAATTTTTCTTTCCTTTTCCCAGGGAGTCAAGTGAGGTAAACTATTATGCCACAATGAAAAGAGCACTGTGCCTATGCTTGCTCCATGATGATTTTCTTTGTTGGGATTAATTTCTCGGTTGCGCAGCATCTGCAGGTGGGATTAGTCTTTTTGCGGCTTTGTTCAACTCAAATGTATCCTGACAGATGGTGATAGCAAGTAAATAGGACCTGTGTATTTCAGAGGTGGGAGAATGCCTGGGCTCATCAAAAGAACAATTATCATGAACAAATAGACTTCAAGGTGCCCTTAGGTTCACTGATCTCTGGGATGTTAGCAGGGTCGGGGGAGGGACACACTCACATTGCACAACAGATTTCTACCTCCTTTATCACTTCTGAGTACGATCCACACAGAGCTTGTGGTGAGTTTTTGGCAGAAAACCTTAACCACAAGACATTCAACCCTTTGTGGGTGTTAAATATAGTAACTTTTATTCAGTTCAAGATTTGTAGCCGAGTAAAAATATCTGGCCAATATTCCACATTATTTACTGTTTAACAGAGTCAACCAAGTTTAAAATAAACACTCCTGATGCCAATTAGGCTTACTCAGGAAGAAAAGCATGAAGGAAAAGAAACAACCATGAGCGCTAAGCTCAGCAAAGGCATTAGTGCTTGTGGGGATCCCAGGACAGATCAGAGTTTTCATTTATTTACTTTGGAAAGTCAGAGCAATGTCTAAACTTGCAACTTGGGGGGCATTGCTTCAGGTCACTTTATATTGGGACCTAGCTCTCACCAAAGCCATTCTAGAATACTTACTCTAATCATGAATATTGCTTATAATATAGGTTATGAAATAGGTTAGGTGGATGGTGGTAACGAGGTGGTGTGGTGTGTGCGTGTGTCTGTCTGCGTGAGATATGCAATGTGGTCTCTTAAAGACTTACTTTAGTGTAGAGGCTATGATTGGTAAGGAAACTATACCTCAGAAAAACAAATGCCTCTGCAATGGATTTTTAAATATTTTCACTGGAAATTGAAGTCCATAATCCTTCTTGAAGCACCTGCATAGCCAGAAGACATTTGACCAATTTTTTCCTTGTTTGTATCTATGTTTATTTGTGTATAACCTTTTCTGTGAATTCTCTTTAGGTATTTCCAAAATATTCTTCATTGCAATTAAATTTACCTCTTCTTTTTATAGATAAGGTGTGAGAAATATCATTTAATTAAAATAAATAGCCACGCTATGCCTAGCTGAGTCTTAAAACAGAGTAATAGAGTAAAATATAGATTGAATACTAAGGTATCTGATCATATCAGTTACTGGGGAAAACTTAAGCTATTTTCCAATTTTCATTTTGCATTTTTTCTTATTTGTTCTAGGTGTATTTGCCCAATACTGAAAACATTATTGACTTTTTATATTAATTAATATACTCAGAATAACTCATTCTTCAGAAAGAATATTTTGTTTTTCTTTCAGTGTCTCTGATGCCAAATGATATCATCATCTTTACACTATGTTTGTGGGTCTACTAAGTTGGAAAAGGATCCAAGTGATCTTGGCCGTGGTTCCAACCTATATTCATATATGAATGTAGTGGTCTCGTAATTTCTCAAAGGAGGATTGGAATTTTAAGATGGAAACAGGTGACATACATTGTAACCCAGCAAAGTCTCCAGGGAAGGAATCCCACTAAGAGTTTCAGACTTGCCTCCGATCAAACCGAAAGGCAAACAGAACTGGGAAAATTGCCGTTTGTCAACCGTTCTGTGTCATATCGTGTGGCGATACTGTTCTTACACAGCAAATGTCAGAATACTGACACTCTACTGTACAAACCTAAACAAGCACAAAATGGAGCATAAATTACCTGAGAGTATTGGCAGGGGTCACGTGCAAATGAATGGTGTTGAGAGACTGGCAGAGGCTTCCCAGGCCTCCAGCAGGTTTGCGTTTCTTCTCTGTAAGATACCCCTGAGGGGAAGGGGCAGAAAACATGTGAGGTTAGAGTTATTTTTAAAGTTAGAAAAAAAAAAGACTTTAAGTCCTTGTTTAATTAAAAATGGAACAGTACAAGTAGATGACTCACTTCTATCTTAAAAAGCTGAAAATTAAAAATTATGCAATGCACTAAAAATACAAAGAGTGAATCAAATGTTGCTTCCCATAAGAACCTTCCAGCAGATTCTGAAGCATGGTTACATAGGTAAACTGCTTATGGCTCTCACTGAGTTGTAGGTTATAAACACAAAGCAGAGATAAACAAACAATGAGGAGCTGTTTATATCCTTAAATAGTTTATTATATTATGATTATAAAATAATGTTTTCCTTTCTAATTGACCAAAAATTCCAATATATGTTCTTCAATTATTCAAGTCTTACCTTAAGAGATTCATTAGCTTGAGGTGTTTCTTTGTCCAGTGGTGATTTAACATTCCTTTACTATTTACATACTAATTTAGGTATTAAAGCACTGGTCCTATGTGTCTCATTTTTATTGAGAAATACAGATGACATTTTCTTTTACTAGGTAGCTTCCAGCAACTAGTTCTTGTCATAATGTTGTCATAGTGACAGCGACAAATCAGCACAATGTTTTATCTGAAAAAAAAAAATCAGCACTGATTCCTGGTATATATTTGTTGAAATACTGTAAAATATGCTACTTAATATGCTAGTGAATGGGAGTCAAGCAGCTGCCAGTGAAAGATTTACAACAAGCCCCCACGGTCAGGCGTGTCTGCCTATGCCTGGCGGATACTTCCGCCTAGCTAGGTCCAGGTCCAGATAGCCATTTCCGGGTCAGGGCATCTCGCGTGACCAAGATCCATGACGTCCCACTGGCCACGTAAGCGCGCAACGTGGCCATGTGATCTACGCGCTCGCGTGTAGTAGTGACGCTGATCTGTCCACGCCCAGCCTTTAAAATCTGGCGCCATGTTCCCGGTTTCTTCTTCTTCCTCCTTCTTCTCCACACACGTGTTTCCCGCAGGCCTGCTCACTCTCTGTCCCTTTAATAAAACTCTTGTTAGCGGATTCTGTCGTGTTTCGTGGCGTTTCCTTGCAGGGTAAGCACACAACGCAGCCGAAAAACTAACAGCCAGGGACATTAGATTAACTGATGGAGACATACATCTAGAAATTCGGATACAACACAAGTGCCTGAGGGATGATCAAGACACTGGTGAACATGGCCAAGAGATCACGGTTAACTGGTTGTGAAGTAGAATTTTTCTCTCAAGTGCCTTTGCCAAATACTAAAGCTTTTCTGTCAACAAGAGCTCACTTTAATTATTTTTAAATCCTTTTAAATATTTTTTGGAGCCTAGAATGATTTTTCGATGATAGTTCCACATGCTAGATTCCATCCTACACAACTTTGGCAAAACGCTTCCCGTCACCACCTTTTATGCCAAAGGCTGTTATTGAAGTGCCAAATATTCTGTGTTCAGTGGTTCAGTTACCACTTACTCCAGGCTGTGCATGCTGGCATCATGATAAACAATGAAATAACACTGGCAGCATCTCTCCAGCACGCATCCTACGTTTTTATGTCACCAGCACTTCAGAATGAAAGAGAAATATGAACATCATTTATATAGTTTAAATGATTAATTTAAAAACTGTTTTTTTTAATACCAAACTATGGTATAACTGAATTTTCTAGAAAAAAATTAAAAATTAGAGAATTTATTTTCTTCAGCAATGTGGCCAAATGTAGATTGATTGTGGGCCAGTGAATGACACCCTCCACATAGGGGATTGTGGACACAACTAATTGGATCTAGGTTATTAAAAGAAGAAAAGGATGAAGAAGAGGAAGAAGGGAGGAGGAAAAGAAGGGAGGAAAAAGGAAGAAAGGAAGGAAGGGAGGAAGAAAAAGAAAAGAAAGAGAAAAAAAAGAAATGAAGTTCCAAAGGGCTGTGAGGAAAATTCTGGAAGACCCTGTGGGGTAAGGATAGATATAATTTAAGACACATTATATTCGTGAATGAAATAAAAAACAATGCATAAACAATTATTTGAATAACTAAGAACATTTTAAAATGAACCATGAGTATTGGCTATTATGTGAACTCACGCTGAAATTTTGGGATATAGTCCCCTCTTTCCCTCCTGGAGACCTATCTCTGTGCTGACTGTGCCACATGTGGAAAAGGCTGTGATGGTCTTCATGGATACGTGAACTTGAACAGAGAACAGGCCCCTGTCTGCTAAGCATAATTAATTCTGATGAAAATAAAGTGCAGAGCAGGCATTATTATTCCTGAATTCTAGATCAGCAAAAGTTCATTTCTTAAAGATTTTCTGATTTGTTTTCAAGATGCCAACTTATAGAAGATAAAGGATGTAAACTTTAGTTGGATTACTTTCAATTAACTATTCACTTCATTGATCATTCTTTTAAATTTACTGAAAAGTATCATTGCCATTCCTTTTGTTTCCTTCAGAAAGAGTGACGTAGACGTGACCATACACAATAGCTATACTGAAGACATGAGTGAATCTCTCCATGCTCATCAGACAAGCGATCAATGACGGCTAGTAATTTACAGATAACCAGTGAATGTGCAGACAGTGAGACCATGGAACACTCAGCTTTACATGGAATCTCTGTGTCACACCCCTTAAAGCCAAGGTTTTATGACCATCCTGGAAGAGAGAGCAGAAGGATTCTAAGAGCCAGAGGTAGTGACTGTCTGTGGTGACGTGAGAGGACTGTCGCCCACACAAACTCCCAGCAGCTAGGACAGCAGGTAACTGTACAAGATCAAGTCAGACAAATAGTCAGCATGGCTGGGAGGGGCTCACAGTTCCCATTCCTAGCTGAGGAACTATGGGTTATTGATAACTCCAGGGGGAGGAGAGTCGTTAAGGATGGAGACCTCGGGAGGCTGTCCATACTTTGCACACATGCAAACAGGAAGCTCTAAATACTCAGTAGATATTAACTTCTGAGAGAGAGAGAGAGAGAGAGAGAGAGAGAGAGAGAGAGAGAGAGAGAGAAAGAGAGACAGAGACAGAGAGAGACAGACAGACAGACAGAACTCAGCTTTTGTCTTCACCTGCTAGGAATTCTGAGCTGGAAACCAAATTCAGCAAGACAGGATGGCCACCTTGTATGTATGTGAGTATAGCACATGATCATGACTTTCCCCACCTGTCTTCCCAGGAAAATGGATGGAATGAGCATTCTTGGAGTACAATTTGTCAGGGCCTTTTGCATATTTTAACTTTTCAACTTCACATAATCCCAGGATATTTAACACTATTTTAATGTTAGGCAACCAAAGTCCAGAGAAGTCTTACCGATGTCCCCCAGAAAGTGAGAGAAGGCTGATCAAGCCATTCCTAGATCAACATAAGATTGTCACTAAAGCAAAGTAAGTAAGTGAAGGTTTGAAATCCTCCAGAGAATTTGCTTTGGACTTCCGCCTTACAGAAGGCAGCAGTCTGGTCTAAACAGTAGAGCTTTGAATGGTTTTATTCTAGAGTGATGGCTGTAACTACAGTTCAGGAGACACCCAGGGAGTACAGAATTCTGCACAGTGATAGAGAATGTAACAGAGGTTGTCCACTCAAAGCTCACATTTCTCCTACACAAATCCACTTTTGTATGACATACCTCTGAGTGAGCACAGCCAAAGACTGAAACACAAACTCAGGAAAGCAGTAACAAGAACACAGTAGATGACTTTGTCTCCTGAGTCTAAGTTCTGTGAAGTAGAACAAGGAGGAGAGATGAGTGTGTCATTTAGGCAAGACTCCTTTTGAATGATTTTATTTTATTTTTCTAACTTATGTGCACGTGGGTGTCTGTGTGTGACTATATGCACATGTATATGGATATTTACAGAGGCCAGAAAGAGGCATCAGATTCCCTGAAACCAGAGTAGCAGGTGGTTGCGAGCTGCATCACTTGGATGATTGGAATCAACTCCAGTCCTCTGCCAGGGCAACAAGGGCTCTTCAGCATTGAGCCATCTCTTCGGCTCCAAGACTTTTAATAAATTTCCATTTTGTATGTATATGATGCATTTGAAGACTGGGCCAGAATAAACCAATGAAGACCACACTGTCCATTTGACCGGTGGCTTAACCACGTGGCTGGGAGAGACTGACAGCAGCGGTTAAGGATGGTGCTTGCAGCATGTTATTCTTCCATATCCCTTTGCAAGCACACACGGGAATCTTTTCATATCCTTTAATAAAATGTGCCTTTATCTATTGTAACACTTGTGTCTTGCTATCATGAAACCTTTCACAGCCTCCTTTTAGAGAGATGACTGTTAACTGGTGCTCCACAACTCTATAGACTGTTTCACCTCCAAGAAGACACTGGCAACATCTAAAGACATCTTTGTCCCAAGAACTTGGGTGAGAGTGTGGAGGGCTGTTACTGATTTCTAGAGAGCAGGGCTTAGAACATGTCCTTGCAACACAAGTTACTGCTGCTTCAAATTCCTTAAACCTTAGCCTTGCTGTGGTAGAGACACACACACAGACACACATGAGAGAGAGGGTGGGAGAGGGAGACCAAGAGGGAGAGGGAAGGGGAGACTATACAGCTAACTGATAAACACGCCACAATTCATTTCCATAAAGCACATGTCAGATAACCTATGCCATATGCAAATGATTCTTTAAGAATGATTAATCCACAAATGCCATGCAGTGCGCAGACTTAGTTCAACGACACTCTGAGCTAAAACACAGGACTGAACACCTAGGCTGTCTCAGGATTGAACATTCTCAGTTACATCAATACCCTTCCTTCTTCTTTCCTTGTTTTTTCCTTCCCTCCCTCCTTTCTTCCTTCTTTCCTTCCTTCATTCCTTCTTCCTTTCTATCTGTCCGTCTGTCTATCTTTTTTGACTTTCTTTCCTCCTCCTCTTTTTCCTCCTCCTTCTTCTTCTGAGATATGATCTCTCTATTACACATCTCTGGTTGTCCTAGAAGTTGCTCTGTAGACCAGGCTAGCATTGAGCTCACAGAGACCCACCTGCTCCTGCCTCTGGAGTGCTGGGATAAAAGGCACGCCCTGCCACACTTTGAAAACTTTCCTTATATGTTATAGATGAGCTTATAACCTTATAACATGTTGAACTGAAAGATAATACTGTGGTCATGTCTCTACACCAGTGAATTTTGTCATGCTTCAGTTTGGCAAACTACATCACAAGGTCCAGTCACCAAGGATGGACTTCTCAATGGACATGCTTGCTCTGTAGTGCTGTCTTATGAGTACATTTTCAGGCACATCCAAAGGAGGCTTTTCTATGTTGTAAAAAACAGATAGTTGCTTTGTTTGCATTTTTGTATTAGGAAACATTTACTAAGGAAAAACCCATCTAGAAAAGTGAAAGTGAAATCCATGGTTATATACCTTTGCTGATGAAAAATAAATGAATGAGAGACATTGTCTCAAAAATGAGGTGCAGAGTGATTGGAAAAGATACCTGACTTTGACCTCCAGTCTCCACTCATGTGAACACCTGTTCACACAAATCTGTAGATGTACTGCATTGTTAGTATACACAAGTCCCTCTCCGTGCACAGGGGGTCATAAATACCAATGTCACTAAGTCTTTTATTATAAATATATATATAAAACCACCTTCTTTATCTTAGGAAAATTAATTTTCTAGTTATATACTTGCCCCTGAGAACTTCTCTGTCAACTGTCTCCAACAATGGATATTGAAACTCCTGCTTCACAAAATCAAGTAAAATGTTCTACTCTTCAGCTACAGCACTAACTCTTAGCTCTATTTTGGTTCTCATTTTCCATGACTTTTTTCCAGACTGTCCTGTCTCATTGATTAACCAATATTTCCCTAAATTACTTATGATACACTACACAAACTCTTTCCAATAAGCAAAGCTAAAAGTAACTGAGAACATTCCTAAGCTCTCATTTTAGAAATCTCAGAGTAAAGGATATTGCTGTCTAGTGGACCTGCCTCTAGACAGCTCAGGGCTTGGAGGGAATCCAAGGCACTGGCAAAGGCCTTTTCTCTCCGAGGGGATTAGGAAAGAGACTCTCACATTCTTTTGATC